AAAGCAAAATAAAATAAAACCATGATACATCTGGCACCGGCTGATGGTTTCAGAGGTCAAATTGGAAGTTTAACATATTCTAGAAGTGAAAAAAAATTTTGAGCCCTCATAACCAAACTAGATTTGGCCCCAAAACTCACCCACCTTTTTTGTATGTGTATACACACAGAGAGACATAAGAGTGATACGAGGGGAGCGTTATTTATAAAAATGCACACAATAGTTTAGAGAAGGGAAAGCGATGAAAGGTGAGAAATGAGTTGGAAGGCGGGGGATCAGGCACCTTGATAAGGACTTGACGAAAGGTATGGAAAGATGTTTTCAAGAGGTCCTTGTACAAGAGTAGACAGAATTCAATAATATATGTGGGTCTGGCAGAGATTGTGTGTGTATTTATATACATATATAATGTATGTATATCCATGTATATGTATGTACATATGAGTTTGAAATCATACCTCAAGAGATTACAGTTAAAAGGAAAGAGTTAACACTATTTGCCTCTGAATTATCTTGTTTCCCTGAGTCTTCTATAGACAACAACAATAAGGTAATAAGACTGTAATAAATTAACTCACACTTTTAAGGGGAATAGTTCAATATTATGGTTTGCTTAATAAATGGAATCATGGGCCGGCCGAGTGGTGCGTTGGTTAGGAGTTGGCTTGGGATGCCAGCTCTGAGCAGCAGGGCCCCGGTTCGGATCCCACATATGAGGGCCAGTGATGCTGTGCCCTCGACAACTAAGATGGTGAACAACAGCTCGACCTGGAGCTGGTCTGTGGTGAGTCACCAGCGACGGCGTAGGCTGCAGCGGGGCTGCAGTGAGCGGCCATAAGCTACTGTGATCGTTGGTCCATTGGCCGGCGACCCTGCCTCATCCAAGAAGAACGCAATGATAATACCAACATGGGCCAGTGAAGCGACGTCCTCCACAACTAGACTGAAGAACAAAAGGACAGCAACTTGTCTGTTCCCCTCCCCCAATTCCCCAATAAAAATCTTAAAAAAAATAAAATAAAATAAAATAAATTAAATCATGTTTCCAATTTTCACCATAATATCATTTGAGCTTTTCTTGAATAACTTTAATCCAATTATGTATTACAAAGCAAAAGTGATTATCCCTTAATTATACAACAAAAGAACAATTTTTGCTCCAGGGAAGTAAACCTCTCTGTGAAGTTCACTAAATTCCTACCAGGTATGTTCAAACATACTACTGCTGTTCAAAATGGAACAGTACTTAAATAATAATAATAATAATAATAATAATAATAATAATAATAATAATAATATAATAATAATAAAATAAATCAGCACCAGACACTAGATATGTTTTCAAAAATGGGATTATTTCCTCAAAAAGCACTTTTTAGCTCTAAGTTAATTATCACATTTCTAGACTTCCTCCAAATATTTCCAAGCCACTGCAAGAGAACAAGTAATAACACATTTATAAAGCAATCCATTATCCAATAAAGGGAAAGAAATGCAATTCCCTTTTTCTGGAATGCCCATTCCTTAGGGCCCAGCTTGAGTGTAGCCACCTACATCAGCCTGACTTACCAGAGAAATATAGTAAGATAATAATAGACACCACTCTTTGGGAACATATTATTTATCCACTTATGGGTCAACAAATGATTGTTAACACCTTCTAAATGCCAGGCCGTGGATTTCACACTTGGAATTCAGAGCCCAGGATCTCTAGCCTACAATCTAGTAGGGAGAGACCACATTAAAGCAATAGCAAAGAATATTTCAAGGTCTTCATAGAGAAACAGGAACACAAAGGAGTAACTGATCAGTTTTTTCAGGGGGCAGTTTTTCGTGAAGGTTGAGTTGAAAAATGAGTAATTGTGCATAGTGGGAGAGGGCAAAGGGGCGTACAGGAAGCACATTCTGGGCAGTGGGAGCAACAGAGCATGACACCAGAAGGTAGAAATAGCTTGGTCTATTCAGGAAACGACAAGCTATGCAGTGTGATTTGATTGGCCTTGAATGCCAAGCCCAATGTTTGGTGTGCACCATGGATAAGTGGTATGTGGGAGCTTTATACTGGCTTGTAAGAGCTGATTGCTAAATTTTCAAGAATTTTGTGAGAGCTAGTTGACAACATGTCCATAGCGTGAAATCTGTCATGGTGCTTACACCACAGAAATCATCATACATTGAAAGTCAGCTCCCCTTTTCTCTCCCCCCACTGATCCTGTAAATAGCTGAAAGCTTTTGAAATCTTTTTTGTTTTGTTTCTAACATAAGTGATGTTATAAAAGTGCTGTTCATGGCTAATCTGCAAAAAAAAAATGCACAAGACAGTTTAGAGAGGGAAAGCTGAGAAATTATTGGGTTGTCAGAAAAGTCGACGTATTTTGTCTGTTTTTCAAAATTCATTTATTTACATAAATAACAAAGATCAATGATACATGGCCCGTTTTGTTCAATAACCTTTTGCCATCTTTCAGTGAGCTTCATAATTCCTCATTCATAGAAGGACCTGTCTGTATTTGCAAAACACTGAACAAAGCACTGATTTACAGCCTCATCTGAATTGAACATTATACCACGCAAGGAGTTTTGAAGAAAGTGAAACAAGTGGAAGTCTGCTGGTGCAAGGTCAGGCGAGTATGGTGGGTGTGGCAACACATCCCATCCAAGCTCCAATAATTTTTGATGGGTAATCAAACTTGTGTGTGGTCTCGCTTTGTCACAATGGAACACAACTCCTTTACAATTAACAAGCTCTGGACATTTCTGGTAATAGCACATATTCGAATTGATTGATTCCTTGGTAGGAGCTCGAAAAACACGACACCTTTAAAATCCCACCACACCAAAAGCATAACCTTCCTCTGATGAATGTCTGCTTTTGATGCCGTTTGAGGAGAATCATCACGTCGGGACCAAGACCATTTGAGCACCACATTGTTGTAAACAACCCACTTCTCATCACCAGTTATCAGCCGCTTCAAAAAAGGGTCGTTTTCCTCACATTTAATGAGCATATTACAGATGTTTATATGCACTGTCAAATGAACTTCTTTGAGTTCATTCAGAACCCAAATATCGAGCTTGCTTAGTATCCCAGCTTCTTCACATGGTCGTGAACGCTTGAATGATAGATATTCAATGTTTCTGCAATCTCTTGTGTCGTGACTCGATCAATGCCTTTATTTTGTCATCAACCTTGGTGGGCCTCTCTGACTGAGGAGCGTCATTGAGATCAAAATCACCAGCACAGAATTTTGTGAACCATCGTTGGCACTGACGTTCTTGGAGAGCATTGTCACCGTAAACTTTATGCAACTTTTCACAAGGTTGACTCGCATTCTTCCCTTTATGGAAGTAAAACAGTAAAATATGGCAAAAATGCACAGTTTGGTCTTCCATCTTCAACTTGTTAAATCTCCAAAACTCAACCAAATTGTTCAATTTTTTTAAGAATGAAACTAGAACTGTCAGTTGTCAAATGACATAGCAATAACATAGATGCAAATGACTACAGTACTTCCAAAAATGAACTAGTGCCATCTGTCACAAACATGCGTCATGACCTTTCCGACAACCCAATAGTTGGAAGGTCAGAGTTTAGGCAACTGATAAGGACTTGACAAAAGGAATGGAAAAAAAATGTTTTCAAGAGGCCTGGCAGAATTTCAAGGCTTGTCAGAATTCAATAATAGATATGGGATTGGCAGAGGCAGAGGTAGAAATGAGAGGGAAGCATGAGTTAAAAGGTATGTACAATAGTCCCCTCTTATCCACGGTTTCACTTTCCTTTGTTTCAGTTACCCATGGCCAACCATGGTCTGAAAATAGTCATTCACCTCACTTCATCACATCACGTAGGCATTGTATTGCCTCACATCATCACAAGAAGGGTGAGTACAATACAGTATTTTGAGAGACCACATTCACGTGTTTTATTATAGTACATTGTTATAATTGTTCTGTTATCTGGTGTTGTGCCTAATTTGTAAATTAAACTTTATCATAGGTATGTATGTATAGGAAAAAACATAGTATATATAGGGTTCAGTACTATCCAGTTTCAGGTATCCCCTGGGGGTCTTGAAATATATCTCCCATAGATAAGGGGGAACTCCTGTAATGGTAAATACATTTCTAACTGAGGGGAGTAAAAGTATTTCCCATTAGTTGCTAATTCCCTCTTGTCCTTCACTTGCAACCATCTTAAATAAATGTCTATACCCATTGCCTACATTTTCTCACCAGAGTTCCTTTTTGCACTCTGTGATATGGCTTCCATTACCCATGTAATGCTGAACCTTCTTAGTCTTGGTCACTTCTTTAGTGGGATAATTGATTACATAGATATCACAATTCCCATACTAACTTAAGGCACTTCTGATGGAGTAAATTGGAATTATAAATACTTCTTATAATGATGCTTTTGCTATTATCACATGAGATTGAGGTACAATGCACAGCCCAATATTACAGGAACAATGTAAAGATTGATAATAAAAAAGAGATCTTTCCACTTCATTGAAGAGAGGATTACACACATGCTAACAATTATTAGGCCTATTTTTTATATCACTTGTAGTACCATACACTAATAATGATATATTCCAAATAGACTGGCCATCCTCCATATCTGACATTCCCTAAACATTTAGTAGATACAAAATTTCTTTGCAAAGCATTTTACAAATGAGGCATTAAAAAGTTAGCTTAAGTCATCTTTATCTTTTTTGTACTTTATTCAAATACCCTTGACATTTCCTTTGTAAATGTGCAGTAAGGGTTGACTCAGCAGGCTCAGGTTGCTCAAGCCCAGCACATTCCAAAGAAAGGCCTGTTTTCAGGACTGGCCTTTGACTGTCTCCCTGGAGATAACCACTGAGCCCTTGGAAGATCCTGCCTGATAAAAGTATTTCAGTATGCTGAGGCCTTGGACCACACTGTATTAATATGACAGAGATAGTTTATGCTAACAATACGACTTATGGCGAATGTTTGTTTTTGTATACCTGAGGCCCAGGTTTACGAGGTTATTATTTAGATCTCTGGTGGGTTGGAGACTGAGTGGCTAAGGTCAGTCACACAGACACTGCATGCCTGTGACTGACCCCATAAAAACCCTGGACTCCAAGAGCTGGGTGAGCTTCCTTACTTTGCACATGTTGTGCCTGGTCTCTCCTGGACTTTGCCCATTTCCTTTTCCATTTGCTAAGTTTAATCTGTATCCTTTCACTGTAACCATGAGTATAACAGCTTTGTTGAGTTCTGCAAATCTTTCTAAAAACTTATTTGGCCTGAGTGTAGTCTTGGGGACTCCTGACACAGTAAGATAAATTTTATTTTTTCTCTATAGATAACCAATAATGCAAGCACTGTTTATTTAACAGTCAGTACTTTTTCTACTGAGTCGTCTAAAATGTCCATACCCATGTCAATACCACTCTATTAATACACTGTATTAATTACTATAGCTTTGTAATAAATCTGGATATGTATTAGGGCCTATCCTTCTATCTTCTTATTCTTGGGCCTTTGCTCTTCCATATAAAATTTAGGGGTGGGACAAGTGGTGCGTTGGTTAAGAGTTGGCTTGGGACGCCAGCTCTGAGCAGCAGAGCCCCGGTTCGGATCCCACATTAGGGCCAGTGACACTGTGCCCTCTACAGATAAGATGGTGAACAACAGCTCAACCTGCAGCTGGGCTGCCAAGAGTTGCCGGTGACAGTGTAGGCTGCAGTGGAGCTGCAGTGGGCTCCCATAAACTACAGTGAGCGGCCGGCAGCTGGCATGAGCTGCCAAGAGCCGCCCTCAGCGGCTGTCCAGTGGCTGCGAACGATCTGCCTCATCCGGGAAGAGCGCAATGATCACAATACCAACATGGGCCAGTGAAGCAACATCCTCCACAACTAGACTGAAGAACAAGAGGATAGCGACTTGTCTGTTCCCTTTCCCCGATTCCCCAACGCTCTTCCCCTCCCCCAATTCCCCAATACTCTTAAAAAAAAATAAAAAATAAAATAAAATTTAGGAACCACTTAACTTCCAAGAAAAACCATGAAGGATTTTATTTTGATTTTTACTGAATGTAACAGAATAATTTGAGAATACTTTTAAGGTTTTTCCTAATCACAAAGTCAGGAGTACCATTTGTCTTTCAGTAATATTTTGTAGTTCCCAATTTTTTGCACATTTTTTGATAGATTTCCCTTCTCTTTAGGAACCTTATAGATTATTGTCATGAGATTATTTTTTGTTATTATTTTCTAATTATCACTGTATAGGAACGCTGATTTTATATATTGATCTTGTAGCTAGAACCTTGAACTTTCATCAAATGTAGATTTTTTTAAAAAAAATGTAGACAAACACACCATCTGACAAAGCTTTACTTTTGTTTCCAGTTTTAATCATTTAATTGTTGTATTAAATAATAATAGAGTACCCTTGTGCTATTCCTAAAAAATGCTTCTAAAATTTCACCATTGGGAGAATTTATGTAATTTTTCAATAGGAATTTTTTATGGGTGAGGCGGAACTTACTAACAGAACCTGACTTTGTTTGGGGTAGAACATGCCCAGCTAAAAACTACATTTCAAGGTTCCCTATAAGGAAGCCATGACAGAGTTTGGCCAATGAAAAGAAAGTGAAAATTCTTACCTGGGGCTTCCAGGAAAGCTCCTTATAGTGGGACAGACTTGTTATCCTTTTACCCTTTTCACTTCCTTATCCTCCTATCTGGAACTCACACATAAGGCTAGATGTGGAAAAGCCCATTTTGTGGCCATAAATTGACCATGTGAAGCCAAGAAAATCAAAGATGTTGAGCCCATCCTTGAACCACTGAACCAATGCTAACTAATGAAATTCAAAAGAAAACTAGAATTGATTTTTTTTTAACACTGATTTGGGTCTTTATAACTCACATCTGAAGTGAAATTCTGAACTGATGCAGAAAGTTAGGTTCTACAAATAACTACTATACAGAACTGGCTTAGTTTTGGAGGGAGGGTTTTGGGAAGTGGGGACACAATATCACTTGCTGGAAAGCTGGTGGCTTGTTTGGCACTGACAAAATATCTGGTCAAATTGTCAAATGCTGTTCTTGGAAAGTAGACCAAATATTGACTGAAGCTGTAGCATTAGGGAAAATTGTTAGAAGAAAAACTCAAAATGTTGGCATAGGATGGCTTTTTCTTGCTGTGTTCAACGAAGTCCTAGAAGAGAGAAATGTACTTGTTTCTCTATTGAAACTAGTAGCCTGCAGAGATGGAGGAAAAATACCATCTTGCTAATAAAAAGTTTGTCGTTTTAGTTTTTATTGTGATATAGGTCACATATAAACAAAAGTGTATAAAATATATATGTACAGTTTGAAGAATATTTTTAAAGTGAACATCCATGCAATCACAACCCAAGATAAGAAAAAGAACATTGCCAGCACCCCAGAAGCCCCACTTGCCATTCCCCAATCACGTTCCCCTACCTTTCCACAGAAGAAATCATTATTCTAACTATTGGGACAACAATATACTTTTCTTTATAATTTGATCTTATATGGATGCATGCTTAAACAATATAGTCCAGCTTTAACTGTTTTGAACTTTATATAAATGGAATCATGCTGATGGCATCCTTCTGTGACTTGTTTCTTTTGCTCCACAGTCTTCATCCACATTCTGATTAGCTATTTCCTTCATTTTCACCACTGTGTAGAATTCTACTTGAATATACAATGGTAGAATTTAACCATTCCACCATTGCTAAATATTTGGTTCATTTCTAATTTTTGGTTATTACAGTGCTGAGCATTCTTATACGTGCTTCCTAGGGAATGTGTTCAATAGTTTTCCCAAAGGCATTGGATTAGTTATGGTTCTGGCAGAAAAAAATTTTGTAATTTGAGATGAGTTTAAGAAAGGAACCATTTACACAGGTGAGGAAACCACAAAAGACAGTGCAGCACCTCAGGACTAACAAGAACAAGGCTCTGTTTGCCACCCCTAGGCTGATGAGCTGAGGGAAGGAAAGGATTACCAGAACCTGGAGAAACAGCCAAGAATGCAGTATGAAGATGACTACTTACAAGAAGTTGTGACCTTTGGTCAAGGGACCTAACCAACATGTGATGATCCTACAAAAAGGCACATGAAGGAATAAATACCCAACTTCATCTTTCTTCCCTCCCTCAAATCTCCTGCGGTGGCTCCGCCAGTGCCATGGCGCCTTGCTAACATAAAGCAGGGGGCTGAAGGGCTGCTGATCAGGGGACATATGGAAAATAACCAACAAAGGTGTATGTTTAGAGGTGCAATTGCTGGGTTGTCGAGTGTGCACATCTTCAAACTTACTGAAGAAGGGCAAACTATTTTCCAAAGTGATTGTTTTCAAAGTAAGAGTCCATGCTATTCTACATCCTCTCCAGAACTTAATATCATCAGGCCCTTTCATTTTTATGAATCTGTTAGAGATGCAATGAAACCTCTCTGTGGTTTTACTTTTCATTTTCCTATTACTAAAATGACTGAGAATGTTTTCATCTTTCTTGGCCGTTTGGCTCTCTTTTTATGTGAAGTGCCATTTAAAGTCTTTTGTCCAAAGTTCTATTGGCTGTCCTTTTCTTCCGGATTCATTGGAGTCACATATATTTTGGATTATATACTCTGGACACTAGATTTTTTTCCAGGTGTTACAAATATATTCACCCAGGTGGTTTCTTATATTCTGGCCCTCTAAGTAGGTAAGATTATATGTGCTTATTCTTTGTAGTTTTGTTGTATTTTCTAAAAATGCTGCAAAGCAAAATTATAATAAAAAGAAAATACGTTGGGTATGTCAGATAAACTAGAAAGAAAAGGATGTGGAGAGGATGGTTGCCAAAGAAAATGAGAGTGAAAGCACCAGAGGTGAGAAAAGAAAGGAAAAGGAAGGAAACCATTTTTATTGGCTAAAAGGTCAACTAAATATTTTAAATTTTATTTTAAATTATTATTAAATATGACTAAATAACATTAAATTAAATTAATCATTTAAATGAGAATAATTTAGTATTTACTCTAACATTAAAAACACAATAAAAATAAACTTGAGGCAAGATAGAAAAAATAAAATATGGTGTTATCTACTTTTCAATACACTGAAGCAGTGTTTCATTGAACTTAATTTTGTAGAGAATTTACATACATAAACCACACAATCAAGAACCACAGAACAACACTGTTTTCACCTTAGTATATAATAATATCAGGCATGAGATTGGCATGCTAATAAACATTAAGCCTAAGTTTAAACCATCTAGTAATTTAAAATCAAGTTACCACTTTGGCTAAGGCTGTGCAAGATCCTAATTTAAGCCATTCCTAAAATACTATTTCCATGTACATTTACATGAGCTATAAAATATGAAAAGTAGGTATACAAATATTAAATCATTATGTTATAACCTGAAACTAATACAATGTTATATGTCAATTATACCTCAATTTTTTTTAAAAAGCAGGAAAAAAGAAAACAAAAATATAAGAGAACAAAACATTGGGTTCTCTAAAGCGGTCACAAAATGGCTTCCATTTTCATGTTTCAATTAAATAATTATTTCTGATAAGAACTCACTGATAGCACAAAATTATCTGGAGCAACTACTTAAGCTAACTACTCACTTTAAGCTGTCTTTTTTCATGAATATTAATAAAAACGTGATAGAAATATAACTAAGATAAATGAGCTATTTTAATATACATTAATCTTTTGAATTGCCCATTTTTCTCTAGAAGGTTATATAAAAATAAAGTGAGTGTACAATTTATCCTTGTTTATAGATTTGTGTATAATACAAACATAATTGCCAAGAGATGAAATACGGCCACTTAAAAAAGTTCTAGACAAGAAAATAATTACCTTGAATTTTACACTAAAAATTTTTTAAAGTGAACCAAGTGCTTATTCATAAAAGGAATTTTAAATTAAAAAATCAAATGAATAATCATATTTAAGCAAAATTCTTTCAACATCGAAAATAATACTGTAATATTATTTTCATGAAGGTAACAAAACTACTCATGGTAGTTCTGCTAAGCTAATATTCTTCATAAAATGTATGATAAATATTAATTATGAATGCTACTAGGAACTAAAATAGGAATATACAAAGTTGCAGAAGACACTAAGATAAAATACAGCAGACCAGTACTAACAAAATGTTTAAGCATTAAAAAATCTTATGCTAAAATAGGTTTGTGTGAACCTCTGAGAGCTCTTATAAATAGATGTTTTCATACTGGCTACAAAACCTGATAAAGAAAAATCACTTTTTAATTTCATTCCTAATTTTTCATTTTCAAAATATCTCTAACATGAAGTGAAATTCTTATTGTTATCCAAACGATATACAGACGTTAGTATATATTCCAAATTCATCTAAGGGAAACATCACTGGTGAGGGATTATTGTTCTGGCCTTTCACTAAATGAATCTGTAAACTTAAAATGAGGAAGAACAGCCTCACTGATGATAAAAAACAAGTTTCAATACAAAAATTAATGATATTCAATGTTCATTTAAAAAATATATCAAGTGTGTGTCTGGGATTGTTTGGTTTTATTTTCTTGGATGCTGAGTACTTTTTCATCAATCCTGACCTGGAATTAAAAAAAAACAACACACAATTAAAACACAGGAAGAGATTTTTTTAAAAGAAAATGACATTGCAAGTAATTGATTTTTTAAAATTTTACTTGATACAAAAGCAAATTTTAACATCTCCTAGAAATTCCACCTCAAACTAAGTTTTACAGCTAGCTTTACTAAAGCTCAAATTAGCCATACCTTTTTGTTTTTGTTACAGTCTTCTGTACTCTGCCTGAGTTACCTTTAGAGGGAAGTGAAGAAATTTCATAATGAATAATAAGAAATAATTAAAGCATTCTATAAAAATTTAAAAAGTTAAAGTAACTGATATAAAGATAATAAAAACTTCCTTAGTACTACATAGTTCATATTTATACATACCAGAAGCTAACTTTATAGCATAATTTCTTTATAATTTACTTGTTTTATTAGTATTAAATTTTATTTTTGAAATTTGGCTAGAGTCAAAACTGCCAAGAAACAAATTAGAGAGGCTTTCTGGCTATGAAATTATAGTTAATTTCCTACTGTGCCCTGACAAATGTTCTCCGAAGGAATTTCTTTTTGATTACCATATTTGCCGGCGTATAAGACGACTGGGCGTATAAGACGACCCCCTAACATTTCCACTCAAAATACAGAGTTTGTTATATGGTCGGCTGTGTGCGATTTTGCGAGTGTGGTAAAATCGCATAACAGCAAAATCGCATAACAGCAAAATCGCATAACAGCCGAGCATACACCCAGCAGCGCTGCTGATGCCTGAACGGTATGTGGAATGAAGTGGGCGGGCATCGGGAGGCCACTATGGCACGGGGCAAGCACTATGGGCAGTCTATCTGAAGTGTACCTGGCGTATAAGACGACCCCCACTTGGAGGCATATTTTTCAGGGCCAAAAAGTCGTCTTATACGCCGGCAAATACGGTACATCACTCAGCTCCCTAAACCTTTAAGTTCATTCTGTGCTAAAACTGGTTTTCCAAAATTTAAAATCTAATGGCTTCAGTTAATTCTAACCTATGGTAAGGTAACTACATTTACCTAAATGGCAGCATACACAAACAGTCCCTTTAGTAGTATGTGTTTCAGATTTGACAATGATCTCAATTTTAACAAAACATTCCTAGAAAATCAAGTTCTTTAAAATGACTGCTAACTCACCAGGACCGGTGGTGTTTTCTTTGGGTTGGTTAACTTGATTATCCTTACTCAGTTCCTGGATAACACTTTTATTTAAGCAAATATCCACATGCACATTAAACAGGGTAAGATCTGAAGTCTTTTGCTCTAGGTTACAAACAGGGCAAACTAGAGCTTGGTCTGTTATCACTTCACATAAATAAGGCTGGAGTGGTTCTTGCCTTCTTAATGACCCGACATCTTCTTTTTCCAGTGAAATAGTACAAGAAGAATTCTGATGACAGTGCTCAATATTAAACGATTTGCTTGGAAGACTAGAACATTCCCCTTTGCTTAAAGCATCTCCACTTTCTGCTTTAGATGGATTATTCTGATGGGTTTCATAATCCTGCTTCTCAGAGAGTGAAAAAGAATGGTGTACATTTTCTTTTTTGTTAACTTCAGTAGAGGAAGCATGTGAATATGAGAACATTTCACTGAGCGAAGGTCCATCAAGACATGTATCTACATGTTTATTAAAGGCTTCCAGACTGATGCTTTCTTGCTCCCTAAAGCACACAGGACAGGTAAATATCTGACCATTATCTGAATTCTCTGATGTTTCTAAATCCTCACTCATTTTCTTCTTTAAAACTTGGAATGATGGTGATGTCTGTAAACTTTGTCTACTCATAGTTTCACATTTAAGTGTGTCTTGGTGGTTCCATTTCCTTTCTGATCGTTTTTTATCAAAGAAACTTGTCTTATGAGACATTTCTAAAGGTTTTAAAAACTGATCTTTGTCAGTTTTCTCTATACCCTGAGTAGCTGACAGGGTTTGGTTTCCAGCTTGTAGAAAACCAATAATGCTCCTTTGTTGGTATTTCTTGTCTTCTTCGTTGGGAAAACTAGACAGCCGCACACCTAAATTAAACCAACTGCAATTAATCAATTTCAAATTCAACAATTCATAATTCATAAAAATACTTTACATATACTGTTGTGACATAGAAAAAGGGCTGTTTAGAGAAAAATAATAAGCTACACATTTTCTGAATTAAAGGATGCTTTTTTCAAAGCTGGTATTTTGCATTGAAATTTACTTTCCTTCATAAAACTGGATATCACTAAATAGTAAGTATATATTGGAGTTAGTGTGATTGTACAGGTTTTTGAATTAATATCTTGACACACAATACCATTAAATACCAACTAACTAATTGGTGTCAACTTCATACATATTTTAGCTCCTTTTTTCTTCCAATAGGTTTTATTATTTTAATTTAGGTTTACAGCAAATGAGCAGTAAGTACAGGGTTCCCATATATTCCCTGCTCCCCACATATACAGCCTTGTCCACTTTCAACACCCTGGACCAGAGTGGTATATATGTTACACCAATGAACTTACATTGACACAAAAGTATCACTCAAAGTCCACAGTTTATATTAGGGTTCACTTTGGGTGTTGTACATGCTATAGGTTTTGACACATATATAATGACATGTCTCTACCATTATAGCATCATACACTAAAGTTTCATTACCCTAAAAATCCTATGTTCTGCCAATTCTACCCTCCCTTCCCGCTAACCATTGATAACCACTGATTTTTTTAGTGTCTCCGTAGTCTTTTCCAGAATGTCACATAGTTGGAATCATACAGGATGTAGGTTTTTCAGATTGTCTTCTTTCCATTAATATACATTTCAGTTTCCTCCATGTCTTTTCATGGCTTCATAGCTCATTCCTTTCATGTGCTGAATATATTCCATTGTCTGGATGCACTAGTTTCCACAGCCCTACTACTGAAAGACATCTTGGTTGCTTCCAAGTTGTAGCTATTATAAATAAAGCTGCTATTAACATCTACTCTAGTTATTTTAGTTAACATACTTTATTCAATTGATCTCAGCATGCGCTGTCCTTCATATATGAAAGTATGGCTAATGACCCACTCTTAGTAATATACAAAGTTGGCATTTGGGGTGCTTATCCATAAACATTCTCTCACAATATTCACGTTGGAAACATGGTTTGTTTTTTTCACCATGTGGTGGCTAAAGACGTGGTTTTATAGCGCCATAATCCCTCATGTGTAATTCTGAAATCTAAAAAGCCCTGAAAATTGTAAGCAACAAATGGTATATGATGTGAGGCTATGTAGAGTCTTTACAACTCAGTGTGAACATTTTTTATTTTGCTACAGAAATATTAATGTATTTGATCATGAAGTGCTTCCTCAGATCCCAAAGGAGTATTACAGAATATACTCAGTATGCACTGAATTTGCTTTCTAAAGTCTGAAAAATTTTACATTTTGAAACATAGCTAGCCTCCAAGATATCAGTAAGAAAAAGAACAACTTTAATGGTTCTTACTGGAATTAAACTAATGGCTTCACATGCATCAGGTTCTAAGAACTAAGAAAAATGGCAGCAGCGTAAGGACAACTTCCTAAACAGCTTTAAGAAATAAAATGGAGGTGAGAATTTCCAAAGTTGATTCTTTGGGCAAGTCCAGCAGATTTAAGGACAAACAAGAAAAGAAGTCATACCCATCAGTCTCAATCTCAAGGGATGTGGAAACTCAGCATCAATTTCTGTTTTTAGCAATTCTTTAGCAATAGCAAATATTTCTTCTGCAGTAGAAACAACAGATGAAACTGTAGATGCACGAGTTTTTACTTCAAAATTCACATTCTTCAACTTAATAGTAACAGTTCTACCCTATAACAAACAGAATGCATTATTATATATAGCCTTCTAACTTCTAGAAAAAAGTTATTTTACAGGTTAGAAAGACTCAGAAAGGTCTCTTATGCACATATAACATGGATGTATAATCAATTATTTCTAAAACATGGTAATAAAATTGTCATAAAGAAATCCATAAGTAATATAAAAACCCCATTTAGCCAATAATTATTACTCCCTTTCCCAAATGAATTTTTATAAAAGACCTTTATATAATGGTCATTTTTCTTTTTACTGAATCTCTTTTAGAGGTTAAGTCAGTACCTAACAAGGAAGAAAAAAAAATCTATCTAAAGGGGCTTCCCAGAAAAGGTCTTGGGGATAGCTCATACTTATTGTGTGCCTAGTATATGACAGATACTATGCTAAACAATTTACATGTAAGAACTCTCCCTTTATAGTTACTTTTCAATGGGTACAGAGTTTCAGTTTGGGATATGGAAAAAGTTTTGGAGATTAGAGTGTTAATGGTTACACAGTATGAATGTACTTAATGCCACTGAAATGTATAGTTAAAAATGGTTAAAACGGTAAATTTTATATTACATATTTTTTACTACCTCCTAGAGGTAGTGAGAGTGGGTTAGACTTACTGACTCACTTCCAAAGAATCGAGTATGGAAAGGGAAAAATAGTAACTTCACAGTGGAGAAGCCAAGCAAACACTACCTTAACCAAGTGATGAAGGTTAATGTCACCCATGATATTGTATGGCTATCATATAGAGTAGCATCCCCTTATCTGTGGGATATGTTCCAACACCCCAGTGGATGCCTGAAACCACGGAGAGTACCAAACCCTACAAATGTTATGTTTTTTTTCTATACATACATACTTATGATAAAGTTTAATTTATAAATTAGGCACAGTGAGATTAACAACATAACTAATAATAAAATAGAACAATTTTAACAACATGCTATAATAAAAGTTGTGTCAATGTGGTCTCTCTCTCTCTCTCTCTCTCTCTCTCTCTCTGTCTCTGATAACTGATCTGATAACTGAGGTCACTGCTAAGTGACTACCAGGTGGGTAGAAAGGAGATGCTGGGCAGAGAGATGATTCACATCCTGGGCAGGATGGAACGGGACAACACAAGATCTCATCATGCTACTGAGAATGGTATGCAATTTAAAAGTTATGATTTATTTCCGGAATTTTCCTTTTAATATTTTTAGACCACAGGTAACTGAAACTGTGGAAAGTGAAACCTTGGAGAAGGTGGGGCTATTGCTCCCTGAGAAGACGTGATGAGAAGGATACTTTACCTTTGTGGTATTCTTTCTAAAACTCATAATCATAGTCTAATCATTAGAAAATCATCAGACAAACCCAAAATGGGAGGCATTCTGCCGGATATCCGGCCAGTACTCCTCAAGACTCTCAAGGTCATGAAAAACAGGGAAATACTGAAAAACTGTCACAGACTAGAGGAGACTGGGGAAGACATGACAACTAAATGTAATGTGGTTTCCTGGACTGAATTCTGGAACAGAAAGAGGATGTTAATGGAAAAATACATAAAATCCAAATAAAGTCTAGAATTTAGTCAATAGCAATGTGCTAATGTCAGTTTCTTAGTTTTGACAAATGCATGCTGGTAACATAAGATGTTAATAATGAGGGAAACTGGGTATACTGGGACTCTATATATTATCTTTGCAATTTTTCTGTAAATCTAATATTCTAAAATTGAAAGTTTATTTAAACATTAAAAAACTCTATACTCAAGGTATGATAAAGATGGATTATAAGAAAAATGCTCATCAGATATCACATTCTTTATAATGATTTTCTTAATACTTATGTATTACACTTTATAATAACTTTAACTGGTTTAAAAGTGTTGGTAAAACACTGAATATGGATTGTTGTGACGGAAGATTACAGAATACAAAGTTTAAAGCCTCCCAGGTTTTGTTCTCAATGTGATAAGCATCCTGCATTAGACCCTTGAAACAAAACGCTTATTCTAGAAGGTCACTGTCTACCTAAGAAAAGCATTAAAGGATGATTGGAAAGGCATTTATGATACATAACTACAGTTCTAGGGAAATTATTCCTTTTGCTTTATTCTCTAATGCCAATATAACTCTGATTTTGAACTTATTCAAATGTATAAACTTCTCTGGAATTACACTGGAACCACTTTTCTCTCTTAAGTTGCTTCTTCACAGAATGATCTCATCATAGGCCTCAGATAGGCTTCAGAACTGAATTTGCCTTTGTTAGTGATGGGAATACTCTTTTCTGACATTTCTCAATTTGTATTCAAATACAAAATCTAACTCTTGCATTAAAGTAGCATTTTATCATTTAAAAAATTTTAAACTGTGAACACCACATTAAAATAAAGTTACCTTAAGTCCTTCTTTCTGCAGATCCTGAGCAAGTTCACTGCAAAGTTCCTTGCACAAGCTGTACTGTTCTTCTGCTTTACTTATCTCACTAAATGTCCTAAAAGATAAGCACAATTTTGGTGTACAAAGGAAACTATAATTCAGAATAAGTTAGGAATGAGATAGTATGTTGAAATGGCCTAGCATTATATTTTCTACAGTACAAAATAAAGTTTTCAGATTAACTAAGATATAATTATTAATAAGTAAAAATGTTTAAGATCACTTAAACATTAATTGAAGATCACTTAGATGATTAAGCTTACTAGCAAAAGTGTACTTTTATGCTTTTGCTCTCTCTATGTGTTTTAAAAACATCATTAAAGTCACCAACAGATAACGACAATGCCCCCAGAAACTTAAAACATAAGGTATATACGAGTACATATATAGACTCAGCTACAGAGGAGTCTCTTAAGAAAGTACACATGAGAACATCATTCCAATTATTGCACATGCATTTTCTGAAAGAGAAATATCTTCAAGTAAATTTAAGGGGTTGATTACTGGTACCTAGGTACAGTTGTTTAATAAACAACTGAAAATGGAGGACTGGTAAGATTTAATGTAGAAATTTTGAATTCATCTGCATAATAATGTTGAAGAAGTTGAAAGGTCATATTAACCTAAAAGAAAAATATACTACAGGGAGATCAGAGTAATAAATAAAAAAACATGTGCAAATAACTATTCAGACTCCCCCCTTCTAACTCTATGCCCAGCTACCCAGGTTTCCTCTCTAGTGTCAACCAATGTTCCCAGCTTCCTATTATGAATGCCTCCAGAAATATTTTATGCATATATAAACAAACAAGCAAATATTTCCTCTCATTTTTTATATAAACAGCAGAATATCAGACACATTATTTAGCACCTTGCTTTTCTCAATTTATCCTGGTAAGAGTTTCCTATGAGTAAATAATTTCCTCATTTTTATATGGCAACATTATATTCTAATTTTAAAATGTAAGATCATTTAACCAGTCCTCTATTCATGGATATTTAAGTTATTTTCAATCTTTTGTTTTTGTAAAAAAGTGTAATGAATAGCTTTGTATACATGTAAAATGACATGTGATTACATCTGTGGAATGAATTCCTAGACTAAGAACTGTGGAATCAAAGTACATATATATCTGTAATTTTGATAGATATTGCCGAATTACTTGCCCCCTGTGGTAGGCAACATAATGGTCCCCAAAGATGTCCAAATCCTAATCCTATGAACTGAGTACATTACATCACAAAAGGGACTTTGCAGATGTGATTAAATTAAAATGGGGAGATTATCCAGGTGAATTCAATGTAATCCCAAGGTTCCTTAAAGAAGGAGGCAGAAGGGTCAGAGTCAGAGAAGGAGAAGATACTGGGTTTGAAGATGGAAGATGAGTCCATGAGCCAAAGAAGGCAGGCAGCCTCTAGAAACTTGATAAAGAAATAGATTCTCTCCTGGAGCCTCTAGAAGGAATACAGCCCTGCCCAAACACCTTAATATTAGGACTTCTGATCTTCAGAACTGTAAGAGGATAAATGTGTGTTGTTTTAAGCCACTAAATCTGTGATAATTTGTTATATCACCAATAATAAACTAGTATCCCCCCCAATTCTCCCCCGAGTTCATAGCTTTTTCACTCCCGGTCTTGCCAATAGAGTGTGTTAGAATCTTTGCCAACCTGCTCAGTTAAAAATACTATTTTAGAGAACTTTCAATCTGTATTCCTAAATTATAAAGGAGATTGGGAATATTTTCACATTTTAAGAGCCATTTATACTTCCTCTTCTGTTAACTAATTATATCTTTGTTAATTTTTTTCTACTGGTTTGCTGGCCCTCTCTTAAGACATTAATAATAGTTAATATTAGTATTCTTGTATACTAAATAGCCTTCTCAATAACAACAAACAAAATGGAAAAAAATTCATTAAATGGGACAATACTATCTCACTGTTAGATGCTTTTCCCCCTTTTTCCTTTGATTGCTTTTATGTAAATCACAGCCTCTAAAGCAATTTTTATCAGTCATTTATTGAGTATATTGTTTTGCAAGTCACTTAGCTTTTCTGATCACAAGTAATATATGTAAAAAATGAACACAGCTGTGTACTATGTCAGTGGTTCTCAAATGTCTCAGTGGACTGTGGTGCTTTGAGGACATTAACTGACGGACTTTTCAAACAATGACATATTTCCCCAAACAATAAGGTTTTCATCAAGATTTCATTTGATTTCTAAAGAAGATTATAAACCAATGAACTGGATCATCTCTAAGCTCTTTCATTAGTATCTTATTATTTAACACCTCTTTTAATAAACCAACATTTGAAGAGTTTTAGAAAGTACTATTTCCATTGTCACTCATTCAATTTCCCAAACAACTACTCAGTATAATTTTTCTCATAAACAAGTCTAGAAATTAAGATTTGGAATCCCAAAATGCTTGGTTTTCACTGAATAGGAATAAAACATTAGAAAAAAATAACTGAAATTAATTTTTTTCCTATTGAGAGCATAGCAAGTGAAGATAAAAAAACATTGTACTGGGGTATTTACTTCAGCAGTGTGAACGCTGAGAACTGTTATGTGTTTTGAAAATATATTTTTTAATTCCAGTGATATGTTACTAAGAATTAAAAATTAGTTCAAAATAACATGAATTATGAATAATAAATCAAAATATTACCTCTCAACACTCATGCTTTTCCTCTCTGCATCCCTTGAAGTAAAGAAAAAAAGAGTTTTTATTTGCTTTCTCTAAGAAGACTGAGTCCCTTTTAGTTAACCAACAGGATTCAACATATCAATTACCCTTTAGACATCTCAATAGTGTTTTTGATTAAATTTATACATCATAAAAGTTTTTTTAATCTAAAAATAAAACTATCACCAAAAGAATGTGCATAAATAAGATGTATCATGGATCAAGTCTATATCTATCGAGGAGAACAAATCTGAAAATAGGTTGATATTATAAATTGCTTCTATTAAAAGCTGAATATCAAAACCACAACTTATAAAAACCAATAGCAGGTGGCAGTGTAATGGCTTGCAGTTATAGGATATAATTAAATTTTAAATAATTTAATATCAATTATCTAGTTTTTGTCTTAGTATATTAACTTCTCTCTCCTATAACCTATTCATTATTCATTTATACCAGTCTATAGAATCTCAGTCAGAATTTGGCACACGGCAAAAGGATGAAGATTGGAAATTTGAAACATCTAGTTTGGTTGGTTGGCTTTTAGCTGCTCTGATAGGAGTAGTTGAAACCAAAAAACTGAAATAACATGCAGATTATTCATTTTCCAAAGATTTAGTGAACCTATTATGAATCAAGCACTGCTCTAGGCCTTGGGGATACAGTAATGAACAAAAAAGAGAATGTGAATAGAAGGGAAGGCAGGTTTGCTATTTTATATTATTATAAATTACCTATGAATTCTACTTAGAATAACCATTACTTGCATCTCTAAATACCTCAGGTTAATATGTGCTATGATTTGTCAAGAACTGTATTGTTTTCAAGCACTATGGAAAAAAAGAGGATAATTTCTGGATTAAAGAAGAAAGTTTCATTTACTATTATCTTCAAAATACTTGATTATTTATTTATAGTACTGTTACGTCTTTTTCTTATCTTTCATTATATCCACTCAAAATCAAAAGCAGCTAACTGTGAACTCAAAAGAATGAGGCTCACGGAGAGATGAGGAAAACAATCACTGTAAGACTTAGCAGGTTTAACTGGTTAATGGAACTTATTTTGTATGCCTCCACAGTATCCTCCTGTCCTCCTTTATTTCAGTGAAAGAATATAAAGGAGTTATTTTGAGGGCAGGCTGTCAGAATGATGACAAAACTGTAAAAATATGCTCAATGTTTATTCCCATTCTTTTTTTCCTAGTCCCTTCTTTTCACCTCCCATCCCCCACCAAAATGTACCCTTCCAGCTCTGGGATACTTCTTTTTAAACCTAGAAAAAGAGTGGCAGGGAAGAAAACACAGGGCCTCTTTTACCTCTTTTTTCCCACTTCCCCTAGATCTTTGCATGGCTGGCCGCTTCAGGTCTCTGCCTCTGGATGACCGCTGCCCACCCCTAATCTTACCCCTACCCCCAAGTCATTTTCTTTTCTTTTTTAAAAAACTAAAATTTATTGGGGTGACAATGGTTAGTAAAATTACATAGGTTTCAAGTGTACAACTCTGTAATACATCATCTATATATCACATTTTGTGTTCACCACCCAGAGTCAGTTCTCCTTCCACCACCATATATTTGACCCCCTTTACCCACATCTACCCCCCCCTTACCCTCTGGTAACCACTAAACTATTGTCTGTGTCCAAGTCATTTTCTATTCCCTCACTCGGCCTTACTTTCTTCATTTGTTTTAACTTGGTAACTTTCTATCTCCCACACTAATCTGTAAACTCCTATTAGGAGGGCCTAGAACAGGACCTGACACAAAGAAAGTACTCAGTGAATGAATGAATCATTTACAAATCTGGAAAAGAAATACAGTTAATTCATGAAGGCTTTCAAAGAATCATTAAATATCCTTGCTTAAAGGGTAAATTCTGGAATATGCGCCATCTTTCTTTCCTCAACAATCTGACTACCAGTATTCTTGTGTTCTGAACAAAGAACAAGGCAGGTACAGAAAAGATAGTACCCACCATTTTTCTCGTTCATCTATCCAATTGCTGTAGCCAACAACCTAGGAATGATTCTTTATTCCTCTTTTCCTTTCCTCTCACACCCAATCTTTGACTCTAATTCAAAAATTATATTCTGAATTGACCTAGCCTAAAATAATTTTAAAACATGTTATCCTTATAGCCTCCATCTCAGTGGTTAGAACTATTATTTCAGCAAATGATAAAGAAAAAGCAGAACGACTATACATATAGGTACCTTGCCAGGTATGTTGAACCTAGACCCAGGGCAATATGAAGGAAATAATGCCAAGATGTTTCAGAGAAAAGAAGAGAAAGTAATGCCCTCTGTTGGTAGAGTTCTGTACAAGTAATAATTCCAAGGGCCTTTAACATTTTCTCTGTAACTTTTCCTATTCCAGAAACCTAGAAGAGAATCAATATTTATTATTAATACACTTTCAAATTAAGGTAAGAATTGATATTATAATCTCATTATACCTTCTATAGTCAGTAAAAGGCATCAATAATAGGACCATCTTAATAAGTTATGCAAGAAAACTGCTTTACTTTTCGGCACATTTCCTAAACTAGTGTTCCACAGAAAATTAAAAATTTAAATTTAATAAAATTTTAAAAAGCATTAAAAAAGAGTTCTGTGCTCAAACAAACTTGGGGAATGATGGGATAAACTAATTTAAATTGAGCTTTTTACTGCAAGACTTAGGAATCTTTAATATACAAGTATCTTTGTAACCCATTAAGGATGGTATGTCCCAAAGTTATTTGACCCCAGAACCTTTTGTAATGGAACACCTATCCATATCTTAAAAAACATATTGGAAAACACTGCTTTATAGCTATACCACACATACACTAAACTATTCAGTAATCATTATACATTATCTATTTTGTTATAGCCTTTCTTCTGAGCATTGAAAAATGCTTCATTTAAATTCACTCATATACATTATAGAGTAAAAAGCAAGCCCTAGAACATCAAATAGTGTACAGTTCAATTATTGTTTACAAAGTATATATATATATATATATACACACACACACACACACACTTTTATATATACATCATATATATATGATATATATATGTAGAAAAATCCTGAAGCTTTAAAAAATAATAATAAAACATATCCTCCTTTCTATAACACCTAATAGGTCATTTTACATTTTAAAGATGGTAAAAGTATTTTGATTAATATTTTGTCAAAAACAATTAAAATTCTAAGTCTCTTTGAAGTATCATATCTATTAATCTGGTAGCAATCTGTATTTAGAACTAAGGTAGTATAAGGTAGTATGAAAGGACTCATACAAGTATTCTTTTTATTTCTCTTCTCCTTGGCAGGGGTATGCTTAAGTCTGTTATCTATTACTTTCTTAAAAATTTTCAGCAAACCTCACTCTTAGTGTTTAATAGAAAGATTTCTTCAAGTCCAAATTCAATCATGCATTATAGTTCTTGCTTGTTACCTATTGTTTTATAACTTTTCGGCAAAGAATGATTACTATCATTCTAAATAGTATCTCTTCAGAACTCAGAGTATATATAGAGGATACATTTTATATAAAATCTCACCTTTCTAATGGGTAAGTCCTTGATGAAGTCCATCACAGCTTGTCTGTTGGGGAGAATTTGGTACTGTCCATTTGGTTTATTCTTATCACTGCATACTTTTGCTAACATTGTATTTGGGGCAATGCCTTAAAAAAAAAAAAGAACACTTTGATGACTCAAAGAAGTTGATATGTATGATTTTTAAATGTGTGACAACAAAATAGAAAAAAATGTTACGTGCAAAAATCTGAAATAATGTGGGATGCTTTAAAAATAGCATGTGACTATTGTCTATCTCCCCAGGGCTTGCTATGGCTTTAGAAAAAGCAGAAATGAGGACTATTTAAATCTCCGTGGTATTTTAAAATCTAAGAGTAGTTTCTGAGTTTAAGTGATATTGTTAGTTTACTTACTGTCTTTAGTGGAAATACAGGGCTATCTTATAAAAAAGATCCAGAATATATGTTAGGAAGCATGCTTACTTTTTTGTATAGATTATCCACATAAAGAAAAAAAATCAGGGCTGGCCGAGTGGCGTGTTGGTTACGAGCTGGCTTGTGATGCCAGCTCTGAGCAGCAGGGCCCTGGTTCAGATCCCACATTAGGGCCAATGACGCTGTGCCCTCTACAGCTAAGATGGTGAACAACAGCTCGACCTGGAGCTGGGCTGCTGTGAGTCCCTGGCGATGGCGTAGGCTGCAGTGGAGCTGCAGTGGGCTCCCGTAGGCTACCGAGAGCGGCCGGTGGCCAGCGTGAGACGCGGTGAGTGGCTGTCCAGTGGCCGGCAACTCATCTGCCTCACCCGGGAAGAGCGCAATGATAATACCAACTGGGCCAGTGAAGCCACGTCCTCCACAACTAGACTGAAGAACAAAACGACAGCAACTTGCCTGTTCCCCTTCTCCAATTCCCCAGCTCTCCCCCAATCTCCCAATAAAATCTTTTAAAAAAATGATAAAAAAATCAGATTTTGGTTTGTAGCATATTAAAATGAAAATAATGAAATATGTTTTTATATTACAGTAAATTACTACTTTTGAGAAAGGTATTTTACAATTACTAGGCATCTTAATGACTAAGATAAATTGAAATAGGAATATTCTAATAGAATCATTAAATAGTTCATTTCCATTTTTATACACATCTTCCTAAAACTTATTGCTTATTCTCATGTTTTGATATAGAAAGAAAAGACTAACCTCATCATAATATGGCTTCAATAAGATAATTTGGGGTCTTTGTGATGAATGTCAGTTTCTAGGCTAAGACACAGTGTTATCTTCATGGGTTACTGACACATGTAAAGCTCTTTTCCCCTTCACCGATTGGTCCTAGATTGTTATGTTGCTAACTGGTGTTTCTGTCTACTACCTTGTGGCCATCTGGGGTCTCTCCTGCACTGTAATCTTGCACAGGGAAAACTAATAAAAGTATATGTCCAAAACCAATTAAAATATATTTTGTGCTTAAAAAAGGAAAGTTACATGAGATTGATGATAGTTTTTCCTTTGGGTTCATAGGGTTTTGGCTTAATTCCAACTCACTTGTAGGTCCTTGGCATTCTAAACAGGTCAGGTTGTTAGAAGTTGAATTGAAAAATTGATAAGTAAAATGTTACTCTATACTTCATAATGTAAAACTACTATTATTATACTTGAATTAACCAGTGTGAAAATTATGATTATTGTAGCCACCAATATCTTGTTAAGTACCTGCACTGGCTGTCAGTGTTGTTTTTTGCTCAATTCTGAAACGAATTTCCTTTACCACTTCTTCAGCTGACGTTCCAAAAACAACAGAGTTTTGGAGTATTTGAGGATTATTTTGTTCTTCAATGTTTACTTGGGAAGTATTTCCTGGAGGCTGCAAATCAGGAGGACTATCTTCAAAAAGTAGTGGAGAGGTGGATCGTTCATGCGCACTCAGTTTATTAATTTCTTTTCCAGATTTATCTAAATTATAAACAGGAACAGTAATTCATCTTCATTTTAAGAAGTACATACTTCATAAGTTAGGTTTCCCTATGTTCTTTCTAAAGACAAAACAAATCTAGTTTAGTTTTGTTTTTAAAAACCAAGGTCAGAAACATTATCATCTACATTTTGTAACTGTTTAAAAAAGAAAACACTGATTCTAAGTTTTTCTTTAAAATATCCATTTCTATGGAAATATGTATTTTGAAAGGAAATAGCCTAAGTAAAACGCACTAATATTTGGACCTAAATTAATTGAAACCCAGAATTGGGTTTAGATTCACATTATTTTCTTTAAAAAAATGAAAGCTTTTTTTCCCTTTAGTATCTCTGGGGGGAAAAACAACCTTCTTAAATTAGAATTTAAGAATGAGGGGAAAACGCATTAAGCAATCTAGAATAAATGCCTGAAAAATAAGTTTGTTTTTAGAGGGGAAAAAACTTACATTTTCTTCATTCATGGAAAAAGCTTTTCAGATGTTAATCAGAATTTTCTTCTTTCAAATGCTGATTTTAATTTTGACTTGCTTGTTTATTAACTATCACTTTTACTATTTAAAATAAATAGAAATTACTTCTGGAAGTTATACTTTTTAAAATATACAAATTCTTAAGGTCTGATCAGATTAACCATGGTCCAAGGTTAAGGGAAAAAAGCCTATATTATTATCAATAGGCTGTAAACTAATATTATTAAAAAGTAGAGTAAAAATATCACTCCAGTTATTATCTCATTTTTTTTTGCATTTTTCATAAATGGGCTATAAAATACACTTAAATCTATACTGATACTAAAAATGTCCTCATGAACAAATCCATTAAAGACTTTAGTTTCTGAACTTAATGGAGGAGAAATGCAGTTTAAATGTATTTATAACAAGATTAAAAAGAGAGCTTTCTGATCCCATTTTGTAATTTTATTACATATAAATGTTTTCTAAATTAAGGTAAATGCAGAAGCAAAAACTAAACTTCGGGTTTTAAGACATATGAATGCATAATAATTTAAAAATACACTTGGTCTTTTAGAAAGATTTTCTAAAGATAATAAAAATAATACAGCAAACACCTGATCAGTTTCAAATTTTAAAGTATATAATATGAATTAAGTTACAGACAGATGCTTTCCAAATGCGAATTCCCAGGCCAACTACAAAATAAGCATTATTTTCAAATTTACATTAACTGTTACTCACATGCTTCAATTCCTTTCATTTTCCATGTTCTGGTTTTAAAATGCAAAGCACTCCAGAGGAGATTTAAGACTGTGGCACAGCGGAAATAGTATTTACCTAGACCCCCTTTTCCCCATCTGAATGTGTGGAAGTCAAAGTAAAGAGAGCTGCAGAAAAACTGCATACCAAGTAAGGTATCTGTCATGTTCATAAGCCCCTTCTGCAGATTTCCTTATGCTATGTTTATGTTCTTCATGGCTCTTTATCACCCTACCACCAAGTGAGTCACTCTAATAGTAGAATACTATCGTAGGAAGCAAAGCATGCTGCCTTCAGGTTTATTGTTAGAGCTGCCACTGAATGGCATAGTTACCTTTTCAGTCTGCCTACTTCTCTGTGAGGCCTAGAGAAATGCTGAAGTGGTTTCTTATTTGCTTTCTTTTTTTAAAAGATTTTTATTGGGGAATTGGGGGGATGGGAACAGTGCTGGGGAATTGGGGGAAGGGGAACAGACAAGTTGCTGTCCTTTTGTTCTTCNTTTTTTTTTTTTAAATCTTCCACCCCTGTACTTTTTTTTTTTTAATATAAATTTTTTTGGGGGAATAGTGTTTTTTTCCAGGACCCATCAGCTCCAAGTCAAGAAGCTGTCTTCAATCTAGTGGAGGGCGCATCTCAGTGGCCAATGTGGGAATCAAACCAGCAACTTTGGTGTTATGAGCACTGAACTCTAACCACCTGAGCTAACCAGCCACCCCCATGTGACCTTTTTGATCTATAACATAAAGAAGTGAGTAACACCAGTAAAATTGTGAGAAGAGAAGAAAGCTATTGATCGAGATGGAATACATAAAAAACATGGAGGAGTGGCTGGCATATGGTACAAGTTCAATAAGTGCAATCTATTTCTAAAAGGATCAATGAGTAGTTGCACAACAAACCAATCCAAAATTGAGGGAAAAGCAGACAGAAATAAATAAGTGGGGTGATCTCTGGAATAAAAGCAATTTCCATCATGTGGAGAGCCCCATGGTAGGTTTCCTCAAAGGCGAAGTTACAAGGGTATATAATTTAGCTTTGTCCACTCATTGGACTTCAACCTTGCTTCTATTCTGAAGAACTTTTGTTCATGGCATTCCATCTTAGCATTATAGTGTCACTAGCTGCAGGTTAAGACGTCTCCTTTAGAAACAAACAAACCCTTGTTTTTAATAGTTTCCATGATTTTATTACGTAAGTAAGAAAAAGAACTTTTCTGCCATTAAACTCTTTCCTCACAAGAGACAGAGGGAGGGGTGAAAAGGAATAAAACTTATACTGATATTTATTTATTTATTTATGGTTAAAAAAGAGAAAGCAGTATTTGTAGACAAATTTTGGAGAAGGCTGATCTCATGCAGTGAGACACTACATCTAATAAATGAAAATTTTCAACATTACTCCAATTTATCACCCAGATTTAAAACAACTATTTCTTCCAGTTCAATTTTAAACCAGAGAATAGCATCCTGACATAAAAAATATGTAAGCAAATCATGGAAACTATTAAAAACAAGGGTTTAAAAACTACCCTATATGAACCCAGAAAATATGCCTAAAATATGAGTCGACTGAGAATAAGAGAGGAGCATCTGAAATATCTTAACCTAGAATGGGAAAGAACAAGATAATACATAGAAAGCAAGCCAAATGGGAAAAATTTTTAGACTCATACATTAAAGCTATGGCAGTTTCTTCAGCAATCTATTGCCTGTTCTGTGCTTACTGAAAGTGTACAGTTACCAAAAGGAAACCTCCCCACTGAATGACTCATACATTCCATTTTCCTTTACTATCTCTCATTAATCACCCTTGCCTGAACTCTCTTCTTTCAACATCTCCCAAAAGCCCACTAATACTGCATTTTTTAAGTTTCTTCTACTGAAATCCTCACTTGTGTTGTCCTTTCTTCCATTTTTCCTTCCAAATGGCTTTCAAGTTCTAATCTGAGTCTCTAATATACTTGTATATGTTATCCCTTTTGCTACAGTTCAGAACTGGTATGTCACAATGGTTAGGAATAATGGCTTCTGTTTGGGTCTCAGCTCTGCCACTAGTTAGTTACATGATAGTGTAATTATCTTCCCATCCTCACTTTCCTTATTTGTAAAATGGGACCAAAACAACCTCAAATGGTTGAAAGTGCTACAAGAGATACCTGTAGTGCACTTATCCAGGAATATGGTAAGGCCTTAATAATATTACCTATATTTTAAAAGTAGAAGTGATATTTACTGAGTATATTATGTGACACATGCATAAGTGCTTCTTATGTTAACTCATTTTAGTGGTCAAATTAATTCTGAGATAATGATTATTATTCCCATTTTATAGATGAGGAAACTAAAGCTCAGGAAGACTATAAGTAATTCGCCCTAAGTCATACAGCTGATAAATGTTAGAATTAGATCTGGAAACCAGATTACTCCAAAGTCTGTGCTCTTTCCATTATTTTATGATGCTTTCCTAAAGTAGATTTTTAAAAGGTCTTATCATTGAAATAAGCTTACACCAAACTCTAATGGTATACTTTATATCCATATTATGTCTTATTTACTTTTTAAAAATCCTCTTTTTCAATTACATCTAGGAGACTATTTCAGAAATATTGTTTTTCTTTCTCTTAATTAGTATTACCCTAAATATTGTTGAGTAAATTCAAGTTCATAAAATCATTGTTAAAATGGTCAAAGTACACTGATTTGCTGTGTAGTTGCCATTTAATATAACATGGGTGTTTATCTATTCAGTTTATGAACCCATGTTTTAATATGTATGTTGGGGCAGCTACAAAAATGTGCCTTTTGGAAGTCTAATGAGGATGGGATGGAGTGGGGAATTAATACTTAAGAGCGGTTCTAAACAAATATCATGGGAGTTCATGCCTACACGGGTTATTTACCTCAGCTCGATTGGCAATAGTTCACACTATCTTATCACACATAATAAAATCTACTATTTGAAAATTTTATGTCTCTAAAATAGAGACACATTTCCCATGAAAACCTCTGTTCTTACAGACCTCTCTGTTCTTCCAGACTCCTTAGGACTTCCTCAGTCCCCTCGCATTTATACAACTTCTTTAAAGGAAGTTCAACAAACAAAACAATTTAACAATCAACATAAAACACATTTCCTGCCATTCCCCTTGCAAAAGATGCCAGAGAACCTCCCATGAAATAGTCAACTAAAATTGTAACAAAAATCTAAGTTCTATTACACAATGTCAGGTATTTTCTATTCCTCCAGATTATTAGCATATTTAAGAATATTAGCTTTAAAAATAGTATAAACAGAGATAAGTTGTTATATTGCACCACTCATTTGTAGGATAGGTTTAAAACTTGTAGATATTTGTAGATTAATAAAACTTACCAAAAGAAAGTAAATTGCCTAAGAATTAATATCAATTTAAAAACAATGTTATTGTGGACAGAATGGAATTTTTTTTTAACTTGATGAAATGATGCTTAAATTTATTTGGAAGAATACACAAGAAAAACAAAAAAAATTCTAAAGAAGAGTACTAAGGGAGCATACTACTATCATTCCATAATTAAAACTGCATGGTACTAATACAGGAAAAGATTCAATTGATTAGAAGAGTACAGAAATGAATCCACGTACAATGAGAGTTCAGTATATAAAAGTGCCTCTTCAATTCAGTGTAGAAAGGGCTCATGTTCAATAATTGGTATTGGGACAGGTGAATCATGACTTAGGAAAAATAATGCCATTTAGGGAACATATAATAAGAAGTGTATTTAAGAAAAAAATACTTGATACCTTACATCAAAACAAATTCCAGGGCCGACCGAGTGGCGCGATGGTTAAGAACTCGCTTGGGATGCAAGAGGGCCCCGGTTCGGATCCCACATATGAGGGCCAGTGACACTGCCCTCCACAGCTAAGATGCTGAACAACAGCTCAACCTGGAGCTNAGCATCTTAGCTGTAGAGGGCAGTGTCACTGGCCCTCATATGTGGGATCCGAACCGGGGCCCTCTGGCGTCCCAAGCCAGTTCTTAACCAACACGCCAGTCGGCCGGCCCTATTATTTGCTTTCTGAAAGAAATATCTTTAGGGGCCGGCCGAGTGGCACATTGGTTAACAGTTGGCTTGGGAGCACGGGCTCTGGGCAGCAGGGCTGCCAGTTTAGATCCCACATGGGTCGGTGATGCTGCGCCCTCTACAGCTAAGATGATGAATGGCAGCTTGACCTGGACTGGGCTGCGTGGGTCTCTGGTGCTGGTGTGGGCTGCAGTGGGGTTGCAGTGGGCTGCCGTGAGTGGCCGGCAGCCACCGTGGGCTGCCGTGGGCCACCATGGGCGACCGATCTGCCTCGGCCAGAAGAGCACAATGATCACAATACCAAAATGGGCCAGTGGGGCAACATACTCCACAACTAGACTGAAGAACAAAGAGACAGAGGCTTGTCTGTTCCCCTTCCCTGATTCCCCAATAAAATCTTTAAAAAAAATAAATAAATATCTTTATAATCCCCATAACTGAGGAGATCAGAGTACATAACTAAGGTTTTCATAATCTGAAACACAAGGATTAAAGCACCCTTTTGGATGGCAAGTGCTAAAAAGTGTACAGTATTACCATTTCACACATTCTTTGGCATTCACCATTCAGATTTATATGGCATAATAAATATAAAATAATATTTATTATTTTATTTGTATATAGACATAGTGGTTAGCAATACTTTTCGAAAACTGCACCTTTTAGAAAAGGGGCAAACAGCAGAAAAATGTCTTGGACTTTAGAGGGAGATATATCAATCACTCTGCCGTAACTCCAACTCACTGCTGACAGCTTCCCACGGCATAATGTGACAGCAGATATGCCTGAAAGACCAGCTCACAGGGATTTATACATGACCAATAAAAAAAAGTTAAACTATTTAAATTGCTTAAGAATATGAAATGCATAAAGTGGAAAGTACATAAGTATGTTAAAAGCGATAGATATTAAAAATTCACATCCTCACAGTGAGTTTGGACATACAATAAAGGAAAAGAACATTAGTAGAGAATGAAAACATTTAATTTACTCTTAATGTAATTTTTAAAAACATATTGTGAACGTAATTGTTATAGGAGGCCCTCAGGGGATGCTTTGACATAACCATTTAATGCCACCTCTCTCTCTTGTGAAAAGTAAGGAACAAAATGAGGTTTTAATAAGCAAAGTGACATCAGGTTTTATGTGCCACGTTCCCAAACAATAAATTTACATGAAGGAAAGAAAGCCTTTTGCTCCAAGCGTCTGTGTCCAGAAATTATGCTTGTTTATTGTTTAGTGTTTCTATTAAAGAGACTACCCCATAGAGCTGTAAAGAAGGCAATGAAGTTGTGATTTGATGTCCACATTAAACTTGCTCCAAAGATTTGAGACCCAAACAATGTGAAAGTATCTTATGCCACTAAGAATCCACCATTTTTGCTTCTGGGAAAGTTACACACGGGTTTCCCCTCCACGGCCTGTGCCCTCAGAAGCAGTCAATGAGTTGTGCACATGAAATGTGGCTGTGGGTCTGGACAAACCCTCTGTTTCACCTTCTCATCCAGCTGAACTTTGCTTAGGGGTCCAAGACAGCTCAGAGGTTTGAAATGATCATACCTTTGACAGAGGGTTAAAAGCAGTATGCATAGCATCTACATATTTCTTGGCATAGTTTTGGATAGGTACTAAAGGGGTCATTTGAAAAAACCCTTAGGGTCATGAAACTTCTGTTTCATTGCATATGAAAGAATCAAAGTAAGGTCTAAGGCAAAGAAGGGAGTTGGACAGTCGATAATTTGGGGAATGAGGAAAAAAAGCCCACCCAAAGTTTTGATATGTTTAAAGCAAATTTTTCAAAAAACTATTTTCTATTAATAACTACAACAAAAGACTACCTTAAACAGATAACCTCAGATTCAATGCATTCCAACCCTTGTTAGTTAGATCTTAGGAAAAGAACTGCAATGAAATCACTTTTTTTCAGGGACTCTGCACACTCTGCAAGTCCAGAGATTTCATAATCTCATTTGGTTTAAAAGTGACTTTCCACACATTTAACTCAGAAAATCCATTGGAATATTTTAAGTTCCTGATTTTTCATTTTAGAAAATAATTTTTCATAATAAAGGTATAGCTAGTCCTACCACCTATGCATGCTAATAAGTTAACTGGGTTAATTCAAAGGGATTTTTGTTTGATTTTTTTAGTTTGTTTGTTCTAATAAATTGCTTACCGTTTTCTAGAGAGTTCCCTGTTTTGATGAAATACTTTCTTTTGTCCTCAGGCCAATTTTGTCTTTCCTGTAAGTGCTTTGTTATATTCAAGTAGGCTTCATCAAGACTCATGGCCATAAAATTGGGATCATAATCAGCAAGTATTTCCTTAACCTTCAAAAAGAACAAAATGGTTTAAATTTTGCTGCCATAGCAGAACCTGTCACATACAGCTGATATGAAACATTTAATACTCTTACTTTGCAACTACAGTAACGATCCTGCAATCAATAGCTCATGGATTTAGGAAATAAATAATTTACTACCAGGGCAAATCTGTCCAAATTCTCTTTTGTATTAAAATAGATCATGAAGGCAGAAGACCATGTAATAGCTTTATTTGATACCATCTCTATTTAGCCACCTATATCTAGATATAGTGATTCAAATAAATCTCAGACATCATCATGCTGATAGTCACACAAAAAAATGGTTAAGCAACGTAATTTTAAGTAGCTGATCAAAAGTAGAAGTGGGGGGCCGGCTGAGTGGCACATTGGTTAGGAGTTGGCTTGGGACACCAGCTCTGAGCAGCAGGGCCAGGGTTTGGATCCCACATGCGGGCCTGTGACGCTGCGCCCTCTACAGCTAAGATGGTGAATGACAGCTCGACCTGGAGCTGGGCTGCCGTAAGTCACTGGTGACGGCATAGGCTACAGTGGGGCTGGCCTGCAGCTAGCCTGCGCTTCCGTGAGCTGCCATGAGCCGCTGTGAGCAGCCGTCTAATGGCTGGCGAGTGACTGCCTCCCCCGGGAAGAGCACAATGATAATACCAACATGGGCCAGCAAAGCGAGGTCCTCCACAACTAGACTGAACAACAAAAGGAGAGTAACTTGTCTGTTCCCCTCCCCCAATTCCCCAATAAAATCTTTTAAAAAAAAGAAGTGGGAACAATAAGGTCCTGCTTCCCTTCACCTTTTATGATATTGTTGTACATTTTTTAAAAGGAATAATCTTACATACAGAGACTATGTTGCTTTAGAAAGTAGTTCTATTTCAATTAATTGTAATGTGCACACAAAACTCCACTCAATACACACATTAATGCATGTATCCATTCAGGAAAACAGAGCTCAAATTTCAGGATTTAAAATGGAAAAAATGACAAAATCTGAAGTGTCTGTGACTATATTAAATGATGGAAATAGTCTGGAGTTGCATCTTGGGATAAAAGAAACACATAAAGAGATCAGAATCTCTGTTATGATTCTAGAAATGCCTTTTATATTAGATAGTTTTTTTGCATAAAACTGAATTTTTCAAACCACTGAAGTATTAACTGAAATTAGAGGAAATGGTTGCCAGAGGAATATATATGTTAAAAAAACATATTTGTAAATTATGTTATGGTTCCATCTAGTATTTAAAAGCTGTCTGCTGTATCATGAGAAAATCACTTTTGATGATTTATAAAAAGAAAGCTTTTTAGCTTAACATAATTATGAACAGCTGAGTCAAAGGTAATTTTAGAAAATGGTGATATAAAACTTGGCCAAGCTTTGCTCAGAGAGTACCTTAATTAGCTTTGTTCTTGCAGAAGAAACAATTTTTATAATGTACTTAAATAGAATCTTTCTAGTGAAAATGAAACTCTGGAAAGTCTGTAGTTGGCAGCCAACTAAGATTATTCTAAATGAGAAGTACTCCCTAGAGACACTGAGTACTCACTAACTTCCTATACATAGGATACTGCTTCAAGAA